ACTCAGCTAATGCTAATTTAGTTTGTGACTCAACTCCCAGCTCCAAAGCCAACAAGGGCTGGATGCTCTGGCGCTTCTGTCAGATTTTTTGAAGTGCTTTTGCAAAAGTAATAATAATAACTCAAGGGGACAGGAATAACACAAGAGGTAGCGTGAACAAGAGCACAGAAGCCTGAAAAGCATAGCATAATTTGAGGATTAACGTAGACAGAACAATGGTCCTCAATAATGACTACGCCCTCATCCTCAGAACCTGTGACTATGTTACCTTATATGGCAAAAGGAGCTCTAGAAATGTGATTCAGGGTAAGTATTCTGGGATGGAGAGATTAGCCTGGATTTTCCAGGTGGGCCCAATCTAGTCATATAAGTCCATAAAAGTAAAGAAGAGGCAGAAAGATGGGTTAGAGATGAGATGTGAGAAGAATTCAACCTACCATTGCAAGTTTTGAAGATGGAGGAAGGGGACCATAAGCCAAGAAATGAAGGTGACCTCTAGAAACTAGAAAAGGCAACTAGTCTAGGAAACAGATTATCCCCTAGAGCCTCCAGAAAGGAATACAGTCCTACCATCATTTTGATTTTAGCCTTTTATTCCTCTTTAGGTTTCAGGAGATGGCATAACTTAGTTTTGTCACTTATTATTTGGTTGTCTAACCTGGGGCAAGTTACTTTAAACTCACCAAGCCTCAGTTTTTCCATCTGTAAAATGAAAAAAAAATTACACTTACTTTCCAGAACTGTTATATAGATCAAACAAGGTCATGGATGTGAAAGTACTTTGTAAGAAGAGGGGTTTTGTTGTTGTTAATCAATCATAAACAAAAATACAGCATCTCTGAAATCAGATATGATTGACAAAACTTTCCCAGAATATTCATAAATACAGTATTGTGAAAATTCATATATATAGACTGCTCACCAGGCTGAGAGTACAAGGTCTAATTCCACTGCCTGATCAGCTATTTACCGACACCCAGTGCTCTTTGGTTTCCTTAATAATAAAGGTATCAGTGGCGCGTGCCTGTAGTCCCAGCTACTTGGGAGGCTAAGGCAGGAGAATTGCTTGAACCCAGGAGGCGGAGGTTGCGGTGAGCCGAGATCACGCCATTGCACTCCAGCCTGGGTAACAAGAGCAAAACTCCGTCTCAAAAAAATAAAATAATAAAATAATAATAATAATAAAGGTACCCACTCACAGAGGCCTTGTAACTGCCGCTCCAAAGACTTTTTACTAGCTGGCCCTCAACTTCCCACAACACTTGAGGACACTGAGGCCACCCATTTCCCCTGCCTCTAAGAACACCCTGTGGCCAGCATGCCTATGTACTGCCCTGGCTCTCTTCCTGTCTAACTACACTTCCTTAGCCTCTTTACCTGGCTCCTCTTCTTCCTTCCACTTCCCCTGCGTAGATTTTCTCCCGGGTTCAGTCCTTCAGCCCCTTCATCTTTCCTTTTACTCAGAGACTTCAGCTACTTAGGTGATTGTAAGCAAACACTTCCTGGCAAATGACTTCCAAATAAGTATTTCCAGTCTAAATTTTGCATCTGAGCTTGAATTCCACATCTCCAATTTTCTGCTGGACATTTCCACTTAATGGGTTTATGTGAGAGCAAAACTCTAGGGACATTGACGCAAATGGAAACACTGAAAGAAAACTCCCATTTGAGGTATACAAGAAAAGGCACTAAATTCTGATTTAAAACAGTTAAATTCAAGCAGATGGCAGAACCCATAGAGACAGTCCAATAAAATAAAGGGACATATGGCTGGGGTCCAGGGCACAATGGCAGTCTGCTAACCAGGAAGGGACACTGCCCCAGGAGACCTGGATTCTCACTACATCTCTGGTGCTAACTCACTAGGTAGCCCTGGATAAGTCACTTCATTTCTCTGGGTCTCAGTTTCCTTGTTTATAAACTGAAGTAGGTAAATGGATTTAAAAGGGTTATGACACTGACATTTACAGAGCTCATAGAAATATATAAGAAAAAATTGTAAGATCCCAGCATAAATGGACAAAGAACATGAACAGTTTACAAAAAGAAGAAAGAACAAAGTGCCAAAAAAACGCATGGAAAACAATTCATTCTATGCAGCACATGAAAACAAGATGCTATTTTTACCTCTTACATTTGTAAGATTTAAGAAAATGGTAGGAATGTAAATTGGAACAACCTTTCTAAAAATCTAAGATTCAAAAATGGATCAGAACACGAGATGCATTTCCAAGAGGTATCTGAATTAAGGCTTCAGTTAAGTTGGAGACACGGACAAGCTCTCTGGCTAAATGCTTCAAAGAAGCAGCAAAAGACTACGGGCTGAGCTTTAAGGAAAAGCACCCTGTTAGGGGAGAGGGGATGATGACTGAAGAAACACAAACAGGAAAGAAACAAGGACATAGAAGGCCAGAAGAGCCATGGAGAAAACTTGTTCAACTTTGTCATTTTCACTCATTTGAGGACTATATCCTGAGCTCCTGCTATACGCCACTAATGCTTGAAATACACTGGTAAATAAAATGTAACTTCTGCTGGCACGGAGTTACTGCCTAACAAAAAAAGAAAGAAAGAAATAATTAAATAGGTGATTACAAACTGAGATAAGGGCTATGAAGGTAGCAAACAGTTTAAAAATAGATACAGAACTGGCAACCAGTTCAGTGTCATTTATGTCAACAGAAAGGGAGTGATCCATGGTCTCAAATTCACAGTCTGGAAAGATGAGAACTGAGACAAGACCACTGGATTTGGGTAGAATGAAATTACTTGTGTCCTGAGAGAGTAGTGGTTGTGGGAGAAGCCAGCTTGGAATGGTTTTCCCAAAGGAGTGGGCAGGCCAGAAATGGGAGTTGTGAGAAGCCAACATTTTTAAGGGAATCTGGCTATAAAAAGAAGATAAATTAGGTGTTTGGAAAAGGTGGCAAAGACAATTAAAGGGGAAGATTTGTGCTTGTCTGAAAGCAGAAAAAGGGAGCCAGTGGAGAGGATAAGGGTGGCAACACAGCGAGAGGCATCGGGACACCCCCATTTTCCCTCACTTCTATGGTCAGTCCTTGCAAAATCCAGCCCATTATCCCTGATAAGGTTTCTCAAAGGAGCTATTTCACTTCTCCATTCTCTCAGTCCTCCTCCATTTCCTCAGCCTTTACCCTGCAAGCCTTCACTGTGTTTCACCTCAACGTTTATGGCCAAACCTCATCCTCATGGCTCACTTCCTCACCTCCTTCAAGTTTCTGCTCAAATCTCTCTCAATGAGGCCCACTCCCCCCGACACCATCCACATTCCACATCCCCCTTAACTTACTTGACTTTTTCTCTTGCATAGCACTTAGCATCTTCTAACATAACTATACAAGTTGTTTATTATGTTTCTTCTTTATTGCCTGTCTCCTCACTAGAATGTAAGCTTCACAAGGATAGGGATTTTTGTCTTGTTTTGATCACAGGCAACTAGAACACTGCCTGGCACATGAATGAATATCTGAATGACCTCCTATCTGATCTCCTGATTTCTACTTGATCTTTCTCTGTTAACACCTGTTTCCTATGCATTTTTCTCTTAGTCACCAGAAACACTCATCATATCTTCCTATAGTTAACATTAAATGGTTCCAGTAGCAGCTGTTTCTAAAGCTCATAGGTTGCTAATAAGATACCCATCTTCACTGCAGCACTATTCACAATACCAAAGACATGGAATCAACTAAAATGCCCATCAATGTCAGACTGCATAAAGCAAATGTGGTACACATACACCATGGAATACTATGCAGGCATGAAAAAGAACAAGGTCATGTCCTTTGCAGGAACACAGATGGAGCTGGAGGCCATTATCCTTAGCAACCTAGTGCAGGAACAGAAAACCAAATACTGCATGTTTCACTTATAAGTGGGAGCTAAATGATGAGAACTTATGAATACAAAAAAGGGAACAGACACTGAGGTCTACTTCAGTGTGGCGGGTGGGAGAAGGGTAAGGAGCAGAAAATATAATTATTGGATACTAGGTTCAATATCTGGGTGACGAAATAATATGTATAACAAACCCCCATGACACAGAGAGTTTACCTATGTAACAAACCTTCACATATACCCCCAAACCTAAAAGTTAAAAAAAAAAAAAAAAATACAGGTATTGATCGACTTACGACCTATGCAACTTACGACCATTCGACTTTATGACCACAATCGCTAGCCACGACTGCTCCGCGTCTGGCAGCACAAACGTTGCCCAGGTGGGTGTATGACAGTGCGGACCAGCTTCCAGCAGCGCTACCATCTCTGCGTGCACCATTTCAACTGTTATCCCAGACTTGGTACAGCAATTTGTGTTTTGTGTCTTGGATATTTTTCATCAAACCCCTCCCAATAAACTTCTTATACATTTCGAAGCAATGGACCCAAACATTGAACAATTTGCAAGGGTTGAACGGATGGCGCACGATGTGTTTCGTCCGTATCGTGAAATTTATGAAGAAAAAAAGAAACATACAATTCAGACAAAGGTCAGCATGTTTATGAAAAAACCAACTCCGGTAACCCCAACTGCTGCCTCAGATGACAACATCAACGATCCACAGCCAAGCACCAGCGGCCAATAAAATGTTTCGTACATGTTTATATATTTTGATGTTTTGCAATTGGGAAAATGTTTCCTATGGTATTTTTTACACCTGTATTTTGTATTTTTGTATGCACCTGTATTTCGTAATTTTGTATGTTTTGCAAATATTAAACCAGTTGTACTGGTAATGCAGTGTTTTACTTAAACCTGATGAATGTAAAAATAAGAAACAAAATGGTGTAGAAATGATACAAATGGCATAAAATGAACAAAGAAAATTATGATATATAACAATAATGAAAGAGAATTATGATAAAATATGACTTAAAGATTTTTATAACATCATTTCACAGTACTGTACATATAGCCTACTCAACTTACGACCAAATCGTGTTACGACTGGTCTGTCGGAACCAATCGTGGTCATAAGTCGAGCACTAGCTGTAGGCCCTTCCTCTCCTTTCTCCCGACTAAAAGTCTGACCCCGGCGCCGCTTGAGGCCTGTTTGCAGAACTGGCAAAAACCAGCACCATGCCCATGACACTGGGGTACCGGGACCTCCACGGGCTGGCCCACACCATCCGCCTACTCCTGGAATACACAGACTCAAGCTACGAGGAAAAGACCTACACGATGGGGGACACTCCTGAATATGACAGAAGCCAGTGGCTGAAGGAAAAATTCAAGCTGGGCCTGGACTTTCCCAATCTGCCCTACTTGATTTGATGGGGCTCACAAGATCACCTAGAGCAACGCCATCCTGCACTACATTGCCCACAAGCACAACCTGTGTGGGGAGACAGAAGAGGAGAAGATTCGTGTGGATATTTTGGAGAACCAGACCATGGATACCCGGATGAAGCTGGTCATGATCTGCTACGACTCAGAATTTGAGAAACTGAAGCCAAAGTACTTGGAGGAACTCCCTGAAAAGTTAAAGCTTTACTCACAGTTTCTGGGGAAGCGGCCACGGTTTGCAGGAGATAAGATCACCTTTGTGGATTTCCTCGCCTATGACATCCTTGACCACAACCGTATATTTGAGCCCCACTGCCTGGATGCCTTCCCAAACCTGAAGGACTTCATCTCCTGATTTGAGGGTCTGAAGAAGATCTCTGCCTACATGAAGTCCCGCAGTTTCATCCCAGGTCTTTTGTTTGGAAAGTCAGCTACATGGAACAGCACATAAGGCCCGGGTTGCCAGAAGATGGGAGGGAGGGGCCGACCCTGCTGCCTGGGCAGAAGGCTGGAGAACAGCCTGACTCCCAGGACCAGACTTCTTCCTTTTTCCATCTTTCCACTGTCTTCTCTTCCCCAAGGTTTCACTGTCTTCCTTTCTTCTAACATGAGCCCTCCCTGCACTGAGGCTCTTTAAAGCTTCAGCTCCTCACTCTCCTCCACCAAAGTCCCCCTCCTAACATCTCCCTTTTCCTGCACTAACGCTAACCTGACTGCCTTTCCTCAGTGCTTGTCTCTTCTTTGAGAAGCCAGACTGGTCCCTGAGTTCCCCAGCACTGTCCTCAAAGACCGTCTACATACCCTGATCCCTTTGCTGTGTCTCTATACCTCAGCCCTGTGTGATGCCCAATAAAGCCTTAACCGTGCCTGAAAAAAATTAAAATAAAACAAAATTCTCATGAGGTAAAATTTACTACTGAAATACGTTATCCCCCTCCACCCACCATGGAAAGAATTCCTTGGGGAACCCTGCATAAAATAAAATTAAACAAGTTTCTTTCTTCCTTTCTTTTTTTTTTTTTTTTTTTGAGACAAGGTTTTATTCTGTCCCTCAAGCTAAAGTGCAGTGGTATGAACTCCGCCTCCCGGGTTCTCCTGCCTCAGCCTCCCAAGTAGCTGGGGACTACAGAGACACAGCACCACACCCAGCTAATTTTTATATTTTTATTAGAGATGAGGTTTCACCATGTTGGCCAGGCTGGTCTTGAATTTCTGACCTCAAGTGATCTGCCTGCCTCAGCCTCCCAAAGTGCTGGGATTAGAGGCAGAAGCCACTGTATCCGGCCAAATAGGTTTCCTTATTGTAGGATTTCATCTAGCCTATTATACGAGATGTTATACTGAAAACCTCTAAGAGAGAGGAAATAGTAATGTAACATTTTCCAAGCTTATTTGAACCTGGGACACTTTCTTCAAATAACATCTCACTGGACCAGAGTTCTAAGAAATCCATACTTGAAAACAGTGGCATCTGGGAAAAGTCCATATCCTATTGGCTAGTTTTTAAGTTTCTTTATAATGCGGCCCTATCTCTATCCACTCTTGCCTATTCCAGCCATGCATATTACATTCTAGCATGTTGTTTTCAGGATTTTCAAGCCTCCATTCCTTTACTCATGTCTCTGCCTGCAATGAGCCAGATCTCATTCTGACCTAGCAAAATCCCATCTCTTCTATAAAAACCCTTCTCCATTTGCCCAATCAGAAGTAGTCACTGTCTCCCTGTATTCCCACAGACTTTTGTACATTCCTTGATTTTAGCATTTTCACATCAATCATTATTATACGCCTGAATGTCTATTTGTCCAGAGAATGTGGGTGCCTTACAAACATGAACCATGCATCATTCTGTAGCACCCAGCATAAGGCATAGAACAAGGAAGGTGCTCAGTATGTGTTGAATGAATGAATGAATATATATTCTATAAAACACAGATCAAATGATGGTCCAAGGTTCTTGCTAATCCTCATCTTGCTTATCAATCTTAACAATAAATAGTGGCTCACTCTGTTATTATTCCCCTATATTAATTTCTCTCACTCTACAGAATCTTCGCCATTAGCATTCAACATGTTAGGATCCTCTTCCATCTTAAAAAAACAGAACTTTCGGCCAGGCGGGTTGGCTCACGCCTATAATCCCAGCACTTTGGGAAACAGAGGCAGGTGGATCACGAGGTCAAGAGATCAAGACCATCCAGGCCAATATGGTGAAACCCCGTCTCCACCAAAAAATACAAAAAAGTAGCTGGGGGTGATGGTGCGCACCTGTAGTTCCAGCTACTCGGGAGGCTGAGGCAGGAGAATTGCTTGAACCCAGGAGGCAGAGGTTGCAGTGAGCTGAGATTGTGCCACTCTGTGAGACTGTCTCAAAAAAACCAGAACTTTTTTCATTCAATAACAAACTTCTTGAAAGAACTGTCTATTTTGTTTCATTTTCATACATCTTCTTCTCCCCTCAATTTTCTGCCCCAACCTTACTTTTGAAACTGTCGTAACCAAGATCATTAATGACTTCATTTTGCAAAATCCAATGTGTAATTTTTAGATGTAGCTTATTTGGCCCTTTGACAAGAACGGACACAGCTAAACAATACCCCCCCACCTCCCCCCAACCCTCCCCACTCCGGAAGAAACACTCTTTCCTTTGCATTCCATGACAATACTCTGTTGTTTCCTTTCTGTTTCTCTGGTCATATCTTCTCAGTTTCTTCTATAAGTCCTTAAGTACTGGTGTGCTTCCAGATTTTAGATTCAGCTCTTGGCTCTTCTTAACTTACTCTTCCTGGGCAAGCTTATCTACTATTATCACACCAATTCTCAGCTCTATGCTGAAAATGACTCCCCAGTATATGTTACAATCTTTCCTTAGCTTCACTCTTGTATTTCTAGCATTCTTTTGGACATTTCTTTTGGGATGCTCCACAGAATAAGTCTAAAACGGAACTTACTCCCTCCACCTCCAAACCTGCTGTTCCCTATCTTACTGAGTGGTACTGCCATCCACCTACTCGCCCATATCAGAAAGCTAACCCTCAGTCTCCACTGCTTCATCTTCATTCCCAACATCCAATCAATCTACAAGTCCTTTGGATTTATTACACGTATGTCTCTTGATTCCATCTACAATTGCTTCATCCCCATGATTACTACTCCATCCGGGCCACCCTCATTTCTTATGCAGATGTTTTAGTAGCTCTGTAACTGAGCTTCCTGCCTCTAGGTTTGTTTTTGTCCAACATTTTTCCCACAAGGCAACCAGATAGATTTTTCTAAACCGAGTATGTCATTCCTCCATTCAAAACTCTTCAATAATAATCCTATTATTGCCAGATCCTGGATAAAAGCCACCTCACCCCAATAAAAAAAGTTAGCAGAGGCTAGAAGGGTACATTCAGGGAGGGGTGGGGTTATCCTATGGGCTGATATCAATAGCAATGCTGCTGAAATACTTAGCTTTGGGCCAGCAGTGAGGTGGGGGAGCTAATCCTGGGACTCTCATACTGAGGTGAGAACCTTAAGAGGTATGCTAAAATATTCCAGGTCAGAGATAGCTCTGACTATTGGCAGAAACAGAAGTTGTTAAGCCCCTTTAGAGGGAATCTTCTCAATTTAGCCACACAGAATTCCTACAGATTCATAGAGGCCAGGCACAGCGGCTATAATCCCAGCATTTTGGGAGGCTGAGGCAGGAGGATCATTTGGGTACAGGGGTTCAAGATCCCTAGCCTGGGTCTCCTGCATAGCAAGACCCCTTCTCTATAAAACATTTAAAAAATGATCCAGGCATGGTGCTATCTACCTGTCCCAGCTACTTGAAAGGCTGAGGCAGGAGGATCACTTGAAGTCAGGAGTTCAAGGCTGCAGTGAGCCATAATTGCACCCCTGCACTCCACCATGGGCAACAGAGTGAGACCCTGTCTCAAAAAAAAATAAAGTTCAAAGAAAAAAAGAAATACAATAATGAGTTTGCAATTAAAAATCAACAAGTACATGGGAAGGCAAGTAGCATCAGTCGGCAGAAACAATAAACAACAGATTTAAATCCCCAAGAACCATAAATGTTAGAATAGTCAGATGAATACAGAAGAGCTAGATATTAAATGTTTAAGGCACAATCACAAGAATGTACCAAAAAAAATTATTAAAAACATTTTGGGGATAAAGCAAATTTGTAAAAATGAAAAGTTTTTGAAATAAAGAACAACGAATGGGCTAAATAGCAGATTAGAGTCAGCTGAAGAGATAATGGGTGACTTGGAAGATAGGTATCTGAAGACATTACCCTATAATGCTGAGTCAGACAAGGAGATAAAAAATAGATAAACTAAGGGGTATGAAGAATAGAAGACCTAACATGCTTCTAATAATAGAATCTCCGAAGGAGGGAACAGAAATAATTACAGAGAGGAACTTCTGAAGAAATAATGGTTGTTGCCAGGCATGGTGGCTGACACATGTAATCTCAGCACTTTGGGAGGCTGAGGTGAGAAGACTGCTTGAGCCCAGGAATTCAAGATCAGCCTGGGCAACATAGGGAGACTCTGTCTCTACAAAAAATACACACATTGGCTGGATGTGGTGGTGCTAACCTGCAGTCCCAGCTACTTGGGAGGCTGAGGCAGGAGGATCACTTGAGCCTGGGATTTCAAGGCAGCAGTGAGCTATGATTGTGCCACTGCACTCCAGCCTGGGTGAAAGACAAAGACTTTGTCTCAACAACAACAAAAGAGATAATGGCTATAAATTTTCAACAATGAACATGAATCTGTAGGTCCAGGAAGTATAGAAATATAATGTATCTAAGATAAATAAAAAGAAATACAGGCTATGGTAGCCAGTCTACAAGTTAGACTCCAATGATTATCAACTCCTGGTATTCATATCCTTATGTTGCCTTCCAAACTGTACCAGGGATGGTCTGTGTGACCAATAGCGTATGACAAAACTGATGATGTATCACTTCTGAGATCAGGTTACAAAAGACACTGTGGCTTCCATCTTGGTTGTTCTCTTGCTTTCTTGTTCTTTCCTGGATCACTTGTTCTGAGGAAAGCCAGCTGCCACGTCATGAGCAGCTCCAAGGAGAGGCCCACATGATGAGAAACTGAGGCCTCCTGCCAGCAATCCTGTGAGCCATTTTGGAAGCAGATCCTGAAGCCCTGGTCAAGCCTTCATATGAGTGCAACCCCAGCCAGTAGCTTGACTGTAACCTCATAAGAGACCCTGTGCCAGAACCACCCATAAGCTGCTCCCAGATTCTCGGCTTAAAAAAATTGTGTGCAATAATAAATACTGTCTTCAGCAGCTAAATTTTAGAGTAATTTTTACACAGTGATAGATAACTAATACATATGCCAAGACCAAACAGTTCTGAATGGCTTACAAAGAACCTTCTCCATCTGGTCCAGAATGTCTCTCTAGCCTCATTTCTTGCCATGCTCTCTCAAGCACATTACATTTCTAACACGCCAAACTTCTTTTAGATTCTGGAATGCACCATGTTCTCCCACCTCCACCCTCTATACGGCTCACGTGATGTACTCCTGCCTGACACATCCTTCAACACCTTCTGCCCTACTCCTAACACATATAGTCATTTTGCTAACTTCTCCCCATCATCAGAGCACTCATCACATTGTATGATGAAGTCTTGTTAAACTATTAGATTTAAGGCTCCAAAAAGGCAGAACAATATCTGTCTCCTTCATTATTATGCCTATATAGCTCCCAACACAGAAAAGATACTCAGTAAATATTTGTCCCTTATAACCCACAGGATAGGAACAGGCAGGAAGACCAAAGGTTGAAGAATGTAAACATTCTCAGGCAATGATCCAAATGAAATCTTCAGCATAGCAACTGATGTAACTATAAAGAAACCAAGAAACTCCTATATTCCATACAACCTCAGGTTTAGGGGAGACTTCGGATAGTCAAGGCTCAAGACCAGGCATCGTGGCTCACGCCTGTAATCCCAGTACTTGGGAGGCCGAGGCAGGCGAATCATGAGGTCAGGAGTTCGAGACCAACCTGGCCAACGCGGTGAAATCTCATTTCTACAAAAAATACAAAAATTAGCTGGGCATAGTGGTGGGCGTCTCTAATCCCAGCTACTCGAGAGGCTGAGGCAGGAGAATTGCTTGAACCCAGGAGCCAGAGATTGCAGTGGACCAAGATGTGCCACTGCACTCCAGCCCGGGTGACAGAGTGAGACTACACCCCCAAAAAAAGAAAAAGACTCAAAGTTGGATTGTTTCCAGTTCCTCCTAAGTTAAGCCCTGTTGTGGTTTCATTAGGATTCTTGAATTAAAATCTCCAAACATCAGAAATATTCATTCTTGAAAGCATACTCATAATTGTACTCAAACACCAAATAGAAATTATATTTTTTAATTATAATCTTAATATTATAATCTTAAAATCTTCAAATCCAGACTATTATGTTGATATTTAAGTTATGATCATATATGGTATTTGTGGAATGTGCTTAACTATATACATATGCATATGTACATATATACATGCTATGAAATATTAATCACTAGTACCCTCTGCTGGTGGAAATACTTTATCTGCTCATTCGAATGGTCTTATTGCCCCCTAGTGATTATAACCTATAAAGACAAAATCCAGCAGCAGATGGGAGAATCTCCTTGGCTATAATAGTAGGGTTTTATATTCTTAAAGCATCTGATTTTCTCAGATTCCGGTTTATATTACAAGGGGTACAACTCTAAGACTCTTGGGGGGCCCTTTGGGGATTTCGCACAGCTCTTCCCAGCTGTTAGTGCCAGTTCTGAAGCTGCTGTCTCTCCTGCTTCTCATGAACAAGAGGTCAAGGGGAAGCAGACAAGGCAATGGCTGCACTAGTGAGGGCAAGAACAGCAGCTGTGAATGATTGCCCTGGACTCCCAGGGGAACTGGGAGCAGCTTGAGGAACACATGTTGGCCCTCCCTTGCATATTATTCACAGTTGTGTACTGTACTAAAATGGCAATTCAACATGGTCCCTTACTTACCTTTTAAATATCTCCAATGCTATAATATCAAGATGTAACTGAAATGTCACCTCCTCTATGAAGCCTTTTCTGAAGTTCCCAGTATATACTTTATTTAGATTAGAATAGGACCCAGAACACTATTTACATGTTTTTATTTATAACCTACAATATTTCACTGTTACCATTTGTCTATATGCTTGTCTCTTCTACCAAACCCTAAGTTTCTTATCTTTTCTTTTCTTTTTTGAAATTTGCGTCAGAGTCTCAGTTACTCAGGCTGGAGTGCAGTGGCATGATCTTGGCTCACTGCAACCTCTGCCTCCCAGGTTCAAGCAATTCTCATGCCTCAGCCTCCTAAGTAGTTGAGATTATAGGCGTGTACCACCACACCCAGCTAATCTTTGTATTTTTAGTAGAGACAGGGTTTTGCCCATGTTGTCCAGGCTGGTCTCGAACTCCTGACCTCAAGTGATCTGATCGCCTCGTCCTCCCAAAGTGTTGGGATTATAGGCGTGAGCCACTGTACCCAGCCCAACCCCTAAGTTTCCTGAGGTCACAAATCACGTCTTGTTCATTTCTGCACACCTAGCATCTAGCACACTCAAAACGTTATCCATATGCTATTGCCAGTTTCCAGTCCATGAACTAAGTACATAAATTGAATGTAAGCATTTAGAAACTTTATAGTAATTTGACAAGAGTAATTCTATATCTGTTGAATCTCATTTTAAAAATTGGGGCTGTATTTTGTACATTTCATTTTTCTGGTAATTTTTATTATATATTACCAAGGTATTGGCCTGCAACCAACAGATAATTTTTTAAACAACAGTCCTTTACTAGAGAGTTTGAAACGCACTGATAAAGCAGATAACTTCATGTCTGAGGGAGAAAAGAAGGAAAGAAAAAGACAAAATATAAGCTTTCTTAAAAAATAAAGGAATGTACCTATCTTTGTTGATTTTAACACCTCCTTGGAGGGTATTTTCTTCTTTAATTCTTGTAAGGCTTCAACGAGATTCTCTTTCGTTTGATCAGGAAGCTCCAGCATAGTTTTCCATCTTTTTATGTCTTCTACAACCACAACTCTCTGGAAGAAAGAAAAGTCATTTGGAAAATGGGAGATTTTCATTAGAAAGACATCTGGCTTCACCTGAGCTAATGGGGCTCCTATTGACATATGAATTATTGATTATGACCTGAACCAAAGTACAGTGCATCTGACGGCCCCAAATGATGGATAATTGCATAAAAGCAGGTACGGCTTACTGCAAATCAGGAAGAGAGGTGCATCTATTAGGAAAAGTGCAAGTTTTAATCTTACACTGTCAGACACCACTGGGCACTTAGCAGTGAGAGGTAATAAGGATGAGAAGAAAAAAACAATGCTGAGGTGAATAAACTCTATAGCTCACTTAAGAGTGACTTAATTCATAGGCAAGAACAGCAAGAAGAGAAGTCATAGACATGTTTATTTCAACAATTAAAAGCACATTTCAGTAGTTCCCCACTTCCTAGAGGATAAGACTCAAAACTCTTGTTCAAGTAACTTTTTAAAACTTCAAACACATACAAAGTTACAGAGAGTAACCCACTATTTATAATGGAAAAAATGAACATTTTGCCATTTCACATAAAACAATAAAACATTATACTCATTCCCCTCCCTCCCTTCTTAGAAGAAACTATGTACCACCTTAAAGTTGATATGCATCTTTCCATTAAGCATAAAAAAACAATTACAGAATCTGGGTAAAGAAGAAGGGAAAGTTCTTTATACTGTGTGGCAAACTTTTCTATAGTGTTGAAATTATTCCACTAAGAATTATTTAAAAAGTAAAGTGGGAGACTTTTAAGTTCCTTTTATAACTACACACACAAAAAATTTCGGATTGGTATTACCCGAGGGAGGTGGGCACAGTTAGGAAACTGAAGGGGATTCTGGGATTCTGGTAATATTGTTTCTTGATCCGGATGCTGCTGTGTTTATTGTGAAAATTCCTCATGTACACTTGCAATTTGTGTACTTTTCTATATGCATTTTATATATGATAGTTTGATAAAAGCACCCAAAAATGTCTTATCTCTCTCCCTTGGCTGGTGTCTGCTTCCAGCCTAGAAGCCTATGGTGGGAAGAGGGTGTGTTTGATTTCCCTGTCACCCCAACTTTGCTTCTCTTCCTCTCCAGTCTGCTTGTTTGCTTTGGCTTATGACCCTTCCAGGTTCAAAGCCAGGAAAAGAAAAAGAGGAAAGGGGAAGGAAAAGCTTTACTTTAACATAGTGATACTGTGCTAATCAGGTTTTAGTACTACCTGGACTTGGTAGATATTGAAAGCTGACTTTCTTTTTCTTGTATAGGTTACTTTTGCCATTCCTTGGAAAGCTCCCACTGTTGAGCTCTCACCTGCAGTTCCCATACTGTGGGTACTGTCTCCCGCCAGCCACCCCCAAGTTCTCCCCCGATTCCCGTTTTTGGCAACCCACAGGCTCTCTCTTGGGATCCCATCGTCCTTCCAAGTATCTTTGTGAACCCATCCATTTTCATTCAACTCCAGGCCAGCCAGCATTTTCTCCCCACTTGCCCACATCTTTGTCCCAAAATATTCAGAGGGTAATAGCCCTCCCAATGCACCCACTTCTTTCACATCAGTCAGCCACTCTCTTGTCTTTAGATTTTCCAAGGCATAGTCTGATCTCTGTCCACCAACCCCAGGTACTGAAGTCAAGTTCTCCAAGTGGCATTCTTGCTTCATCCAAAAGAATTTGCTCTCCCCTCTTCCTTTTACTTCAACCTACTTTAAAGCTTATGGTGAGTGACAGATTCAGGGTCCCAAAACTGGTCTCCATGTATTGCCTTCTGTACAGATGGTCTAGAATCTCACTGGGAAATATCATTTGATACCTACTGCTTTGTTCTCAGTCTTTAAGGGCATGAGTAAAAAGTAAGACAAAGTCTTTTTCTATGATCTGTTACCATATGAAATGGTATTAGTGTTAAACTGTATGAAAAAATAAATCAATAAAGCCAAGTAAGGGGACATTTTCACTAGGAAAATATAAATATCATACTTTTCTCGCCAGTGTATTTTCTTGATCTATCCATACCGAAACATGTAATCCCAATTGGTCCACTTTAATAGTATTGGATAGTATTCCATTATTTTCATACACGAATGCCTTAGAATTTTAATATCTATTCCCCTATTAGATATTTAGTTTCTTTCCCCATATTTTACATGTTATAAACACTGTTTCAGTGAACTCCTGTCTATGACAGATTTTTTTGTATACTGTCTTCATCTCTTTACTTTCAACTTTTCTGAGTCATTACACTTTACATAGCCTGTGGCTGCTTTATTTTGCTCCCTATCCCCTATTCCCATCTGAGAATCTCTATCTTTTAATAGGCATGTTTAATCCATTTGTATTTATTATGATTACTGATATATTTGAACATATTTTCTCTTCTTTTTTCTTCTTTCGTATCTCCTACTTGACAGTTTTCTTTAATCTATTTTTTCCTTTTTTTGTTTTTTATAGATGGTGTCCCACTTTACTGTGCAGGCTGGGTGCAGTGGTAACAATCATAGCTCACTGTTAGCCTTCAACTCCTGGGTTCAAGCAATCCTCCTGCCAGCCTCCCGAGTAGCTGGAAGTACAGGCACGTGCCACCACACCTGGCTAATTTTGGTTTTTTCTTTTTTTTTTGAGACAGAGTCTTGTTCTGTCACCCAGGTTGGAGTGCAATGGCACGATCTCGGCTCACTGCAACCTCCGCCCCTACTCCCCCAACCTGTTCAAGTGATTCTCCTGCTTCAGCCTCCTGAGTAGCTGGGATCACAGGCAAGCACCACTACATCTGGCTAATTTTTGTATTTTTTGTAGACATGGGGTCTCACTCTGTTGCCCAGTGCCCAGACTGGTCTCAAACTCCTGGCCTCAACTGATCCCCTCACCTCAGCCTCTGAAAGCACAGGGATTACAGGTGTGAGCCACTGTGCCCCACCCCTTATTTCCCCTCTATGGTTTGGAAGTTATGCATTATATTTCTGTTATTTTAGTGTTTACTCTTACAATTTTTTTTCTTGAGACAGAGTCATGCTCTGTTGCCCAGGCTGGAATGCAGTGGTGAGATCACACTGCAGCCTCAACCTCCTGGGCTCAAGTGGTCCTAACACCTCAGCCTCACAAATAGCTGGGTCCATAGTCGCACGACCACATCTGGATAATTTTTAAATTTTTTTATAGAGATGGGGTCTCACTATGTTTCCCAGGCTGGTCTCAAACTCCTGGACTCAAGTGATCCTTTCACCTTGGTCTCTCCAAATGTTGTGATTACAAGTATGAGCCACCATTCTCAACCTACCCTTACAATGTTTATGATGTATACTAACAAATTGATACCAGTATTGTTCTCAGAAGCCTCTGCTTCAGAAACCCAAATTCCATGGCTTCTCTGTCTATCCTTTATGTACTTTTTTCTTTCATATTTCTGTCTCTTCATTTCTCTATGACATATCCTAAGTGACTTCTTCAGATATCCCAAGTATTTCTCTCTTTAGCTATGGCTTGTCTATGTTTAACCGGTTCGATAGGTTTCTGCTTCAATAAGGATATCTGTGCATTGGAAAAGTTCTGTCTTTCTTCCTCTCCAAACTTTCCTGTTCTCTCTACATACTATTCTGTTCTTATCTTATGGGGTTTCCATTCCTATCTTTGTGAACATGAGGTCTGGAGGCAGGAAACCTAAGGCTGATTCTCACTGACTTCCTAGAACTAAATCAAAAGGGAGGCCGAGGCAAGTGGATCACTTGAGGTCAGGAGTTCGAGACCAGCCTGGCTAATATGGCAAAACCCCATCTCTACTAAAAATACAAAAATTACCTGGGCATGGTGGCACATGCCTGTCATCCCAGCTACTTGGGAGGCTGAGGCATAAGAATCATTTGAACCTGGGAGGTGGAGGTTGCAGTGAGCCAAGATTGCATCACTGCACTCTAGCCTGGGTAACTCAGTGAGACTTTGTCTCAGTTAAA